AAAATAAAAATGATGTTTTGACAAATAAAATTTTATGTGATGTATGACGGTAAGCTAAGGTGTTAACACTCGATGCTAGGCCGCTATTTGTTATTAGATATTGTGATGATTATTATTGATGTTGTTTATGATTAGACTTTGATGAATATTATTATTAAAATAATAATTACGAATGATTAAATTATGATTAAAAAAATGAATATTTTGATGATTATGAAAATGATGTATATTGTTAAGAATATCTAGAAGAACTCTAAGATATACCCACTTGGAAAATGGATGATGATTATTAAGGATATCTAGAAGAACTCTAAGATATACCTCCTTGACCAATTCATATTTCGGGGTTAAAACGTACGTACGGGATCATGAACGGATATCACCCACCCGACAGTTCACTGTTCGGTTGGTACGTAATCCACATGACTCATAGGGTGGATTATCGATTCTCGTGTTCTGCATTAAACTATTTATAGTTTAAGGGCCTGGTTAGAAATATTGCCTTAGACTAGGGATAGCTAAGAGCTTGTATAAAAATGATTTGGCCTTAGATTAAGAATAATTTAAGAGCACTGGTGAAATATTGAATATTGAATATATCATGAAATGACTTAAAATAAAATATTGTGAATATCATGAATAATGTATGCTTGAAATATGTATTGTGTGCATGATATCAAATGGTTAATTATGAATTGAGATTCAAATTATATGGATGTTCGATGCATTAGAAATGCTTACTCAGCTTCAACGCTGAGCGTGTAGTATGTTTTATTTGCTACACGCAGGTAAACAGAAAGATTAATGTGATTCTGGCGGGAGCGAGATTGTCAGGATGGACGTGACAAAGTTTTGAAATAATTTATGATATGTCAATATTAAATTCGCTTCTGCAATATTGTTAAATACTCCGTGTTGTATATGTTATGAAAAATATTATTGAGATTAATAAAGTGTGTTTGAAAAGTTTTAAAATTTACGATTACCAAGTTAAATACTTTAGTCCAAATGGGGCTGCAGACCTGGACGGATTAGGGTGTTACAATTTGGTATCGGAGCAAATGGTTTTAAACCCGATCTTTGGATCGAAATTTGATTTAAAAAAATAAAATAAAATAAAATGTCAATCACATCCACGACTCTCCCATCCCTCTGCTCCAGGAAAGGTATGAGAATTTACTTAGTAAATATTGACTTGTTAAAATTCTCATTTGATAACAATTGTTAGTACTGAAATTATATCGAGCATAGACTCAAGTCGAATTTTGTATTCGGTAAAGAAACAAAAGAATAAAAAAATGTATAAACCTCTGATACGTTATCAACGTACGCTTCACATCGTGAATGACGAAGTTGATCTGTACCAGAAAAGTCGCACGGAAGTGAGATGAACCTGAAGAACGTTTCGTGTTGATATATGTTGAGAAACATCTGTGAAGCTGATGTCAAAGATCCTTATGTGGACTCAAGGCGATCTAATCGTAGATTCAAACACGAACGTTTAAAATCAATAAACTCTGTTATCTAGGGTATCCCATTCTGATGTCTAACTCAGATGCAAATATTCGATTATATCATATGAATCGAAATCGTTCCTAATGCAACAATTCCTTGCAAAACCTCGTTGAAAAACCATACAAGGAAATTGATAATTATCCTTAGTATGCATTGGCTGACTGAACGTCGTTGCTGTTGTCAACTTGTGATGAAGAATTCCTCAACTGAAGACCAATGATGGTAACCTTATAGAGGTGAAAGCAAATCTGATTTCTGAACCGACCAAGTTCATCTCGAATATATATATGAAAACATCTCAAGTGTGAAGTCTATTCGTGCGATACCCAAAAAGAAATATTTGAACTGAAGAAACGTACCAAAAGTATGTCACCTCTCTGATATGAAATGTCTAATATTTCACTATTCCGCGAAATTGAATTCTCTGTCAATCTTGATCCTAGAAAGGACCAATATTTGTAACTCTGTATTGAACGTGTTTCCATCAATGATTTCTTGACAAAGAATCATCTGATCAATTGTTTCCTCCTTGGGAGAATACCTGTTTTGTTCATACGCGAATGAAGAAGGATTAATGAGATTCTATATCAACTACTGTTAGTTGAACAATTCGTTATCCTTTACCTCGTATCATGACTTATTTGATCACCTTAGAGAATTCATAGTATTCTCTAAGGTTGACTTACGGTCAAGATACTCAGAAATCCCTGTTAAGAAACTTGAACAAACTAACGATCAAGAATTGCTATCCTTTACTATGAACTGATGACTTATTCGGTCAAATTCAAATAACTTGCTTGTTAGAAGCTATAGACCGCTCAACCTTGTTGAATGAACTGATGCTTTGTTATGAAGCAATTAATGACCTAATTGCTTATCACCGAAAACGTCAATGTAGTCTAATCGAAATAATGAAGTAATTGACTCGTTCGACATGAAAGATTGTGACGTGGTGACGATACAAAAACAAGAAGTGAAACAGTGACACCAAGAGTGAAAAACTAAAGAATGAAGAAAATGTAATTGCATTGACCATGCAGCTTAGATTGATAATTATGGCTAACTCGTAATGTTCGTGGACGATATGAATGCAACTTGGATTACAAAGGAAATGTTAGAGATGCAATTCTAAGTCTAATCTTCCAGGATTTACAAAGTTGTCATAACTAGCTCTAGGATCCGGGAAAGCTTTAGCAAACTCTAGTTTGTCTAAAAGCTCGTCAACAAAGAAAGAAGAAATAAAAAGTTTCCTCTGACT